CACAGGCCAGAGGAGGGTACCTGGGAAGTGAGCGCAGGATAGGTGTGGGTGTGGAGAGAAGGTGGAGGCCTCACTTCATCCCCACACCCAGCACTGGGCTGGGGAGGTGGTGTCCTATGCCCAGGAAGGGAATCCAAAAGAGAAATAAAGGCCCTCTTCAATTTATTGTTTTTTAAGTTTATTATTTCTATTTTATGTACATTGGTGTTTTGCCATAGGTGTCAAGTCCCCTGGAACTGGAATTGCAGTCAGTTGTGAGCTGCCATGTGGGTGCTGGGAATTGAACTCAGGTCCTCTGGAAGAGCAGTCAGTGCTCTTAGCCACTGAGCCATCTCTCCAACCCCACCCCCTTCAATTTCTGCCTCTTCTGTAGGCTTCTTGAAGAATACACTGAGGGATCAGGAGTTATATAGCTAAGGGGCCAAGAGCAGTTGTTGCTCTTGCAGAGGACCTGGGTTTGATGCCTAGCACCTACATAGCAGCTCACAACCAACTGCAGCTGTGAGTCCAGTCCCAGGGGATCCCACAGCCTGTCCTGGCTTCCACCAGGACTAAGCACACACCATACACATCCAGTGACACAGATGAACATGCAGCCACCACACCCATACACATAAAACACATGCAAAAAGCTAGCCAGCGGTGCTGGCACACACCTTTAGTCCCCAGCACTGGGAGGGGGGGGGGGTATCTCTGTGACAGTTGGATGTCTGTGAGTTCAAGGCCAGCTTGGTCTACAGACTGAGTTCCAGAACATCCAAGGCAACCCAAAGAAACCCTGACTCGGAAAACAAAGACAAAAAATAAAAAGCAGCCAGGCATGGTGTCACACACCTTTTATCCCAGCATTCACGAGGCAAAAGTAGAAGGATCTTTGTGAGTTAGAGGCCAGCCTGGTCTACAGAATGAGGTCTGAGACAGCCAGGGTTATATAGAGAAACCCTGACTCAAAAAATAAAATAAGGAGGGCTGGAGAGATGGCTCAGCAGTTAGGAGCATTGTCTGCTCTTCCAGAGGAGGTCTTCAGTTCAATTCCCAGCAACCACACAGTGGCTCACAACCATCTACACTGGGATCTGCTGCCCTCTTCTGGCCTAAAGTCATGCATGCAGATAGAGCACTCACATACAGAAAATAAACTTTTAAAATTGAAATTAAAAACAAAAATCTAGTGGGAACCCATTGTGGTGGTACACGCCTTTAATCCCAGTACTCAAGAGGCAGAGGACAGGTGGATGTCTGTGAGTTCAAGGCCAACATGGTCAACAGAGTGAGTTCCAGGACAGCCAGAGCTACAGAGAGAAACATTATCCCAAACAAACAAACAAACAAACAAACAAACAACCCACTGTAACTCCCAACCCCACACCACATGCTGCTCCAGCTCAGGCCAACTCTCTCCTTACCACCCACCCTCGCCCTAAATCTCCAGACATGGTTGGGTACTTGACATTCCGAGAGCTTCACTGCTACTGTATCCACCCAAGGCCCCGAGAGAAGACACCTGCTCCAAGTCTAGCTCGAAACTGCGCCAAGAGCCCCAGCACCTAGAAAACAGACTCCACAGCCAGCAGGGTTGCCACACGTCAATCTGCTCTCCATGCGGAGTCTGGCTCACAGCCTACTAGATGCAGGGTTAATGAGGGTGGATGGGCAGAGGGAAGAGCAAAGGAGAAGACACCCAATGGGATGAGCTGGTAAGAGACAGACACCAGGAAGCAAGGGACACCCTACTGTTACAGACGCTGTCCCCGAGAAGTGCTATCGGAGGCAGCAAGACCAAACAGGACATGGCTCGACAGCGGACACTGCCTTGCTGAGTTCACACTGTAAGAGGAAAACTAAGGAGCAGCCTTCATTGTCATCTGTCAGGCTCAGCGTTTCCAGGATAGGAAGACAGAACAGGGCAGAGGACAGCAAGGTGAACAGGACGGACCCAGGTCAGACGGACACAGGAGGCAGAGATGAAAGACCAGGGAAGGATGACACGAGCGGCAACTGAGGAAGAGCAGCATGACGGCACTCAACCACTGGGGCCCGGACAGCATCCTGTCTGCCTGGTCCTGCAGCGCTACCCGGTGCTGCTCCCCATGCCCCATGCACTGTGCCAGGCACCAAGAACAGATCAGACAGATGCAGACACTGTACTCCCAAAGCTCAAGATGCAAAAGGAAATTAATAATTACAAAATCTCAGATGAAAAGAAACTGGTCTGGAGTCAACGGCTGGCTGTAAACCACACGGGAGCCCCACAGGCTGCCCCACATCAGGAAAGCAGTGGCTAAGTCAGGCCCAGGAGACTCCTGCTGCTCTAGACCAAAGAAAAGACACCTCTTCTCCGGGGCTCCAATCAACCTCCAGGAAGCAACGCTGAGAAAAGCCGATGACACACCAGGTAAAAGCAGGACAGACTCGCAGTGTGAGTTAAGAAGGAAGGAGCCTGTGTGGTGACGGAAGTGCTCAGGGTGCTGCTGTGGTTCAGACACAAAAGGCTGCACATACGCAGAGGCGCACATGTCAAGTCAGGAAGCCTCCTTTCAACAGGGACTAGGCAGGTACCAGGCAAGTTATGTCCATGTCACTAGCCCAGGATGAAACCCTACAGAGTCAGGCAAAATGTCACCAGTTGGGAAAACAGCAACATAGACTTGGGATCACTCAACTACTTCTTACAGCTATGTTCAAGTCTACACCATCCTGACAAAAACCTGAACTGATTAAAAACAGCAGGAAGGAGACTGGAGAGAAGGCCAGCAGTCACACATGTCTAAGATTTTCAGAGGGGGTGGTGGTGTCGCACACCTTTGATCCCAGCATCTGGGAGGCAGAGGCAGGCGGATCTCTGTGAGTTTGAGACCAGCCTGGTCTACAGAGCCAGTCCCAGAACAGCCAGAAACCCTGTCTCAAAACAAAACAAAACAAAGCCTTGCAGAGGACTAGGTTTAGTTCCCAGCACCAGCATCAGATGGCTCACAGCCTTCTCTAACTCCAGCTCCTGGGTATCCAACATCCACTGAGCTCCTTAGAAACCTACATGCGTGTGGTACACACAAATTCCACAGGTACACACAGATTTTAAAATTAAACAGACTACAACAAGGAAACACCAGGAAGGGGCTGGGGAGATAGTTCAGTCAGTAAAAGTGACTGCTGTGCAAACATGAGGAGTTTAGATTCCCCAGCAGCCATGGAAAACACTGGGTATGATGGCTTGTGTCTGTAATGCCAGAACTAGGGAGGCAGAGACAGGAAGATCTCTGGAGCTTGTTGAACCAGGATAGCCGAATTGGTTAGCTTCTGATTCAGTAGACCCTGTCTCAAAAAACAAGGTGGAGGAATGATGGGCTGGCTCAGCAAGGTGAAGACCAAGCCTGAAAATCTAAGTCCAATTGCCAGAACTCACAGGTCAAAGGAGAGACTGACTGACTCTTGCAATTTGTCCTCTGAAAACACACACACACACACACACACACACACACACACACACGCACACACAGGCAGGAAGGCAAGCATGAGAAATGCATACTATAACAACAGCACTTGGAAGGGAATAGCAAGATTAGGAATCTAATCCTCAACACAGTAAGTTCAAGGTCAGCCTGGGCTACTCGAGACCCTAACTCAAAACAACAAAACAAAGACAACAACCAACAAACCAACAGGAGCAAAGTGTAACACTAAAATGAACACAGGGAGACCTGGCTCCTCGCTGAGGTTTGGAGGGTGAATGGGACTTATCCCAAGGCCTTGGATTTGGTATGTCTAGAGAATCTTACCATACAAAACTTTTATAAGAACTGGACTATGAAGGGTATTCACTGGGGGAGCTGTGATCCATCCTGTACAGGCCCTGACCCTCCCCGCCTCGGATCCTCATCCCCAAAGCTCAGTTACTGAGTACAGGGGAGGGAGAGTGAAGGACTCACTTGTAGCGTAGCCGCTCCTCACCACTGGCTGGGGGCTCCTGGGTGACCCAGGCCACCATGGCCTGCAGGTGGGAAGGCTGCAGCAGGAAGTCCAGGAGCTTCCGGTTGACAACCTTGCACTCCTGCAACACATCCTCCTCATCCAGAAGCTCAGGCAGGCTCAGGTCTTCCTTCTCCAGCAGCGTGTCCAGGTGAGAGCTTGTGTGCAGGTCAAACTTCCAAAACATGGCGCCCTACAAGCAAGGGCATAATCAATTTGTCACACACACCTAGCATCCCCTGCTGGGTAAGACACAGCCACAGTGACCAAGCACAAACACCCCTCCCGGGCCTCAGACACAGACTCCACCCAAGCCTGCCTTGCACAAGAGGTCCACAGGTACAGCGCCTATGCTCAACACTGGGAGCAGCACCCAATCCCGCCAGGGAACCTGGAGCCCGCCGTCTCAGCCTCCAAACTGCCCCCTCCCCAGCCCCGCAGTGTAAGAAGTCATTTTATCACTCTCAACTTGAGGCCTGGTGAAGTCCTCAGGGTGGACCATCCAGGGCCTGCGAGGAAAAGCTATACAGCCTGCAGTGGGCCTGGCCCACCCCCAGGGGCCTGTGTCCACCGTCCTGTATCTGCGCAAGGATGGCAGTGGGCCTGGCCCACCCCCAGGGGCCTGTGTCCACCGTCCTGTATCTGCGCAAGGATGGCATTTGAACTTGTGGCTTCAAATTCACTTTATTTGCTGAACAAATTCAAATGCTCCCATGACCTCTAGTGCACAGCTGCTGCCTATCCCAGCGGATCACCCAGGCCGCCTGGTGAGCTGCAGGGTGGTGGCAGCCGGGAGAGAGGAAGTATGCTCGACTCGAGGCTGTGGCTGTTGCCTAGACACCACACACACAAACACAGCCCAGCTACACTCATCAGCCCACGCCCAGGCCTGGGACAGGGAAGAGGGAAACCTGGTGTTGGGGCTCCTAGAACACAGCAGTCACTAAGCAGGGCTCAAAGAAACCCATGAGGATAAATAACAGTTCAGCAGGAGATGAAGATTGAAGGGGTTGGTACCAGGTTGAAGAAACCCACAGAAACAGCTGGCCTGAACAAGGGAGAGCATATCAACCCCAGATGCAGTCTGGGAGGCCAGTACTGGACTGATCCAGCCCCCTGATCATGGATGCCAATGGGGAGGCCCCTG